GATAGATAGATAGATAGATAGATAGATGATAGATAGATAGATAGATAGATAGATAGATAGATAGATTGATAGATAGATAGATAGATAGATAGATAGATAGATAGATAGATAGATAGATAGATAGAGCAAACCAAAAACTAAAAACAACAAACTAGGTATTTGCTGGATTAGCATACTAAGAACCAAGCTCATACTAGGAATAAACTTCTTTAATAATCAGTTTGGAGGATCTGGGGGAAAGGGGAGGGGACGACAGCATCTGGATAACACTAGACTCCTGCAGCAGGGATTTTACTGTCTTTTCACAAAGCCACACAATTTGTTGTGAGGTGACATCAAGGCTGCACTGAGTTCAAAAAAGTGTCAGGTTAAAGGTGTGATCACTCTTACAGCAAGGTCAAGGCTGACTGAAAAATTCTATTTTCGTAGCCACAGACCTTATGTACTTTATTGCAGAACACTACAATGGGCATTTGGAAAATGTAGGCTGTCACAGTGGTCCAAATGGATGAAAAGGGTTGGGCCACTCGTTTATGATCAAAACAACCCTTTTACTGATTGGTAACTGTCAATTAAGAAATAAAAATAATGTTTAAGAATCCGCATTAGTGTAAATACTACCCACGTTGGCATATTTTGTGGGCCCACGACCAGCTAGAAAGTGGATTCTCAACTTTAAATTCAGGTCTTTTTTTTTTTTTTTTTTTTTTACACCTTACCTAGGACATTGTTTGGGAGAAACAATTTGCTTTCTTCAATCATGTGTTACTGCATTTTGTCACTGCTTTAAAGGCACTGTGTTCGTCATTGCAACATTAAATTACAACCAATGCGAAGTCCGGGCACTTCAAAGCAACAGTCTGTTGGAAAAACTAATATTCCATGTAATAAAAAATTAACACTAAAGAGTATCTACTTTCTCTTAGTAAATTCCACGTAACACTTCAAATGTTTCTAGGTATTCAGATCCTAAGGGTGGTAGTGATGAAAAATTAAAAGACACAAAGGGGTTCCCTCAGGACAAACATTATAAAATAGTAAGTTTAGTGTACAAGCTGAACTTGCAAAATATAGCAGTTTACTCCAATGGACTTGTGAAGTGAGTACTCAAATTAGTCTGTAATTTTTACCTTATCTTTGTAATGGGTCTTTGTGTATAGGAATTGTCACAATACAGTACACACCTATAACGTATAAAGATCTAAACCTCAGGCTTTTGCCCAAGAACTTCCCATACCATCTTAAGAAGTAGACTTCAACCACCTATATTTGAGACATGCCTAGCAGAAGCAGGTAACAGAACAGTTATAAGAACAATGGATTTCACATGACTCAATAAATACAAAAATCTTATGCAGAACCATTCAGAAATGTAGTATCTACCAATTTCCAAAGTTCTTCACATTGTAGCCATCCTGACTTAGTTTGTTAAATAAAAGTACCTGCATGTGATATTGGTTGCAAGCAAAAGGTTATGTTCTATAAAGGTTTGGGCTAGAGCAGGAGGATCAAAAACTTGGGTTCTGAGGATATAATTGTAGCGCAAAGTGTGCAGTTATTGAAGTACTAATATTCCAGCAAAATATTCGATCTAGGCCCTTGGTTCAGAGCTTGGAGGCAATCCCTGCCATTCACTCTCTGACCTGGGACAAACTATGTAAAAGCTTTGTGCTTTAATTTCTCCACCTGTAAATTGGCGTGGAGGGCACCAAATACACAAGAAGGCTTTAAGAGTTAAACTAATCTATGTAAAAGCACATGGCCTGGGATGCTGCTCAAGAAATGTTACTCGTTGTCAGCTCAGGCTCCAGCCAGCCAGAGGAGGCGGAGGTCAGCATGAGGGGCTCCAATTAAACCTGCCCACCGACAGGGCTCTGCCTGCAGAAGCGACAAGGGAAGTGGCCTTACCCCACATTCTACACTCACACTACTCCTTTGTGTGCACCCATGTAAAAAAACACATACTCAGGGCACACAGGAAACATCAAGTCATCTCTCAACTGCACTGTTTATGGTCCTGAAAACCAGAGCCAAAGGCATTCTGGCTTGGTTTGCTCTCTTCCTGAATGCAGGTCTAGCTAGACACGAGACATGCCCTCACCCCATTAACCAGGCCTGTGATCTCATCTGTAGGGTTTGAAAGAGATGCCTCCAACCTTTGTTCCACTTTGAACACAGACTTACACCCTAAAGTTCTGTTTGTGGAAAAGCATGAGCGCGGACTTAAGGCCTAATATGTGCCTGAATCTATTACCAGTATAGCATCCAAAAAGCTACTTTTGTTGACACCCAGATTCTTAACTGAGTACGTTAGCAGAACAAACTACCCACTGCACAGGACCCAGCGCACAGTGAAATGCAGGCCCTGGTTCAGATACTGAGATTTGAAGATGGCGAGAGTACAGCGTTAAGCCAAAGTGGATCAGGAGGAAGATTTAAGGAGGAGGACTGAGCACTGAACAGAGCAGACACTGATGGCACATCCCCACCTACGAGCAAGTATGACAGAAAGTGTAGAAAGCATAAAATGTTAATACTGGGCCTGGCAGAAGGAGCACTTTCAGTCCTAAAAAGAAACAAAATCCTACAGAGTAGGCATCTATCCTCTTCTAGTACTATGTAAAGGCATGTGGAATTATTACTGAGGCCTTATGGCACACCTGAACACTCACTCAGTAGATGAGCACATAAGCAAACAAATACTAACTCAAGTCGTTTCTTTACTTACATAGTGGCTGGAGTCCTTATCATCCACCTTTCTTTTTTTGATGTCATTGGAAAATTCAGGCCCATTTCTGCGTTTATCTGTGCCTCTTAGACTGTCAGGGACCAAGAGGGAATTACTCTGAAAGACAAAAAAAATTAAAGATTTCTTCCCAAGTCTCCTGGTACATGTGAAAACCCAACTTGGGTTATAAAAGCTGTTATAAAAAGGGGATACCCACATGGCCTTTTATTCCATCTCACTGGAGACACTGAAGGCAAACCTTGCAGAAGTTTAAACTCTTACCAGGGGGTTCTGACCATACAATCAAGTCACCCAATGATGGGCTCTGTTTGCAGGCCCTACTCACTTAAAATGCTCTTGTTGTTCACTGTTACATAAAGGGGAGCTGGCGCTTTCTATGTGGATGTGGTTTTTTTTCCCTTTCCCACTGTGACTTCTTGATTAGGAATATGAATGGCTTATGAGCCCAACCTGAGATTTGTCTATTAGACACATTCTGTGGTTGTAAAATCAGTATGTGCCACTCTGCAGAGACAGAGAGAGGGGTGGGATTAACAGCATGGTTTCCTAAAAGGCAAATCACATTTTCCACAGCAACAATGAAGGAACTCTTTTGAATTCTTTTAATTTATTGTTGAAAATAAGATTTAGTGTTCCTTGCCAACAGCACTGAAATTTAAGCTCCAAAGAGGAAATTTTAGTCAGTGAATCTTCAACAGGAAGGCCTATTCCCACACACAAAAGCAGGAATCAGCACTGATCTTTTCCACAAACCAAACAGGACACCCTCCTTTGCTGAGTGTGAACTGCTGACCCAGAGAAAACAGGCATTTTATATATCTGGGGTCACATGACATGTTCTGACATCCCTTCAATTCCAGGCTCCCCTCTGGCTAAAGCATCAGAAGGCATTACAATGAGTTCTTTTAAGTGTGGGATTAGCATATGCAAGGAGGCAATTTGTTCAGTGATGTGTTACTGCCTTGAACAAAGCTGAAAGAGCTTTGCAAAAAGCTCAGATAACCCCAATTTCTGAAGATGTTGGAGAACTAAGAAGGGGGTGTTTAAGGCCAAAAGACAAGTATTTTACCTTTTTCTGTCATAATTTAAAAAACAGAAGGAGTGGGGAAAACCAAAAGTCAGACCACCTCTAATGCAAGGGAATGTACCAGAAGCAAGTATTTTATGGCACATTTTTAAAAAGCCATGGTTCTTTCCAGACCAGCCAGAGGAAATCAACCATATGGCTGGTTCACAACACTCTTCCAAGAAACCGGTGGACCCAGCATGCAAGTGTTCCCCTACACATGGGAAGACCAAAATGGGGGACCAAAAGGCAATCTGAAGCCTTTTTGCCCACTTCAGAGGCTGACTAAGCTGACTTTCATTCATGACCTTTCAATGCACACCATGCCAGGACGCTAACATAAAAGGCGACTGACTGCAGGGACCAGGCAATTCAATACCAAGCAGCTCAGCACAACCTCGAGCAGTGTGTGGAACTGGAAGGTGAGCTACTTGGAGCTCTGAACTTACATGGTAAATGTTGGCTGAAAACAAACTCCTCCCACCCAGTCCCAAAACCTGCCAGACCACGCAGAGACTTAACAATACTGCAAAGTGCTAACTGGGCCAGGGAGGAGAGCGGCTCGTGCCCACATGTAGAAGTGTCCAAATACACCTGTCTGTGTTCTAGATTCTGACAGTCACAAAGTCTGGAAGCGGGGATGCATTCGGAAAGGGCTGCATGGCACTAGGCTTTACAAAACCTGCCACGTGCCCAGCAGGAGGCAGCACAAGTTGGTGTCTATCAGCGATTTAAAAATCTCCCTCCACAGGGTCACCTGGCAACACCCTGCTGTGCCCAGCACTGGGCATCCAACCCACTCAATCGTTCAAAAAACAATAATTATTATTGTTTTCATTTTAGTGGTGTCAAGTGGAAATGCAAACACAAAAGCAAACTACACTTCTGTTAGGTACAGGCCAATTTCTGTTAGAATAACATTTGTACTGCTGGACCTGTACGGCTGTCAAGCTTGGAGGCTCTGCGCCTGTGTGTGAGAAGTTACTACTGTAATTCCCGCTTGAGCAGTTTCAGTGAGGTCTATAATCTGAATGGGATTTGAAAAGCTCTGCAAGTTCCCTGAAATTTGGACAGGGCTAGTAATTAGCACCTCTGCTTATCTGAAAACTGGCCCTATGGAAGTGGCAGACTCAGGCAAGTTAGGAAACAAAATGTCTCATCAGATCCTCCACACTATAAAAAATGACTGCAAACAGGGTGGCAACACACAGAAAGGGCTGGGGTGAGAGTGGGGGGGGGGGGCACCCACAGCCCAGCGCTCCCTGCAGCCTGACAGCTGGCAGGCTTTCTCCATCCAGGCAGTTCCACCAGAAGCGAACCACTTCCTTTTACCCTCGTTCCTAGAAACCAAGTTTTCTGTGAGCAATGGCCCCTGACATCTTCCAGCCCAGGCTACTGGCACTGTTGTTTTTTGAGCTAGAAGTTCCACCCTGAAGCTAGAAGAACTTCACTGAGAGGAACAACTTTCTGGGTTAACTACTGCCTAGGTGGTCTTTGTCCTTGTGGTTCCTCCATCTGTGCCCCAGAAATTCCAGTGGCTTCACTGGTGTGTTCATGGACTGTTTTTTATCTTGATACCATCTTATGTTCCTTATGGCCCAGGGTAGAATACATTCGACATAACGCTCACCCTGAACCATTATATCCCTATGTTAAGATTGAAGAGATTATACCTGGAGACTAATTAGATATTCCTTGCCTGCTTTAAAATTTAAGGTTTTTTATCTTGGTATTTTTTCAATATGTAGTAGGATAAGATAAAATCACATTTAACATTAATATTTAACATTTAGTCCATGCTTAAGAGGTAAAAGAATGAAACCAAAGATGCTTCGTTTAAGTTTTTAAAAGTCATGCATTCTAGACACTGAAGATAATTAGAATCAAGCCACTGAAGAGGTAGGTCAAAGCAATCTTGAAAGGCACATTCCTTGTCCCCTCTCCTTTTATCAGGGGGATGTCCGGAGGGGAGATCTGCCTGAATTCCACTCTTCCCTTTAAGTCAATGTCTTCACCTCCAGAGAATGATTTTTAAATGCAATTTATGTACACAGATACTTGTACTCATATACTTGGCCCCAAATACTTGTTACTCAAAAGTCACACTTGCTCTTTAACCTACTGAGCGTCACATCCTAAAATGACACGTTAATGCCTAATGCTGCTGACATGTTTGCTGTGACCCCTCTAACCACAGACATACCCACACACACACTAAATTTACTTGGCTATATGCCACCAAAAATGTGTACATTTTTTTGAAAAGGCATTTTACAGTCTGCTTTCAGATGAGTTAAAAAAAAAAAGCTGAAAATAATCTCAAATTCCTGCCTTTTCACTCATAAATCCTGCCATTGATAATACAGAATTGACACTACAAAAGCACCCAGCTCAGACAAACAATACTGATCTGGCACCCAGAGGGCAGGTTTCCTGCAATATGAAATACCCAAGTTCCCCTTCTGGAGCTATTCACCATCACACACTTCTCTACCCAGATTCTGTGTTCCTAAGTAATTTTACATACCAAATAGTATCCACATAAAATTTGGTTTGCAAATTATTTATTTGCCTCAAATAATAAAATGTTTGTGAATCAGAGATTGTGGGATCAGCGCAAGAACGACTGTTCCCACACTGACAGAATCTAATTCTAGCCAAGAAGCTCAGTATTTTATTTCATCTTTCAGCTGGTAAAACTTAAATATCTGCCAGGATTTTCCAAACACTGATTTCTGGGTAGACTTCTGTTACAAATGTCCTGAGGAGGGATTTCCAGATTGTGTATGCTTTTCCTCGCTTTAAATTTTTGTTAAGTACTAAACAAGTACTTAACTTACAAATTCAGTAAGTACTCCAAACTGCAGCTATGCAGCCCACGGAAGCATGCACACTTGAGCACACCAAGGTCTGCACACACTCTATAACTTCAAAACAAATACTAAATCCACGACCACTTTCTGCCCCTTAAGTCCTGCACACACTAAAGGAGAGAGCTACACACAAGCATTACAGGAGAGTCTTATCTGACCTATCGTTAAAGAAAATGGGTTCTGGAATGTTCAGTGACAGAGACAGAAAGAGGGTCCCCAACATATCTATTAGCCCAACTGGCATGACCTTCTCTCACATTTGTACATAAACTATATGTGAAATGACCAACTGAGGTAAGAACAGACATGAATGTTCTACAAGAAGAGTCCTCTACCTCTTGTGAAAATCTTCACGAACATAAAATCTCAGAGGGCATCTTCACTGACAGGTAAATTATTTGCTACAATTATTATCTGCTTCCAGAGGATCAGATACTTCTTGGGCTAACAGTTTTAAGAGTGAGAAAATGGGTTAGTCAGAAAAGAAAAAGTAGCAGCTCTTCTAATATTTGAACAAACTTGGGCACACAACCTGGAAAAGTCAAACCCAGAGCACAATTTCCTGAGTGAACGTTTTATGAACACACACACCCCAGCGGTGTTCCCTGATGGAGCTCAATGGATAGACAATAACTAGAGTTACGAGAGTATTTAAACCTAGTAAGAAGAAATTGACAATATATTCTCTTATTCAAAAATTAACATCCAAATACAGTAAACTACACCTTCAGGTGAAAATGTGTAATGGAAGCAGTGAGCCCACTGGACTGACAGCATCCATCGAATCCAAAGACAATGACAAGATGTAGAATGTTCTACGGCCTTCTATCCTGACCATCTAGAACTGGCATTTCTCTTAAAGACTGAATACCCACTGAAGATGTAGGGAGAGAGACCCAGCTACTTCCAAAGGATGGAAAGCGGTCATCACAGTCTTGTTCCACAAAGTTTTACTTTTCATTAGCAATTTAACAATAATGACTATTCAGGTGTACCAAGAGATTTTGGAAGGGAAACCCAGAAAATATGAAAGTACATGTCAGGGAAGGTTAAAATGTCAGTGCTACCAGAACACTTGTTACAGGTCTTCATCTATCCTGAGACATCAAAGCAACTCTCTGCCAACCACATTTAAAGCCACCAGCAGCAAATCTATG